AATGGGCCTGATATAGTATGATGACCTGGGCAATTTGTACTCCAATGGTACTCGCGATCTGATCAGAAAAGTCAGGGGATCTTTGTCCGATGGTTAAGAAAGTCTCGGATTCAAGTGATAGGTTGAAGCTTTGAAATAGATGTCAGATGGTAGTGGTAGAGAAATTGATGCAGCAAGATGTTATGAACCTGGCCAAGGTGGAAAGGGAATGACGGCATTCACATTGATGATGTCGCCGCTCCACTTATGTTGCCGCTCCAGAGCTGATAAGCCCTGAGATAACAACTTTAGAAACAATTCGAAGGCCCGGAGATGCGATGTATGAAAAATAGAAAAAACAAATATAAATACAGCATATCTTTTCTACAAGTAGTCCGAGGATGACTCAAAATAAGTCTGCTTGCGGCCTGGACCAATATGGCAACCAGCCATTTATTGGAATGTGGGGGATTCTGTCCCGCTTCTAGTTCCATCTAACAAAGGGAAATAAATAATGCTTGTGCTGATACAACTATTTATAGACCATACCCAAAGCAACACTATTCATTCAAATGCTCACAACTTGGCGGAGATGGCGCTTCCACCGTCGACTGTGATCGTCGCGCCGTTCACAAATGCACCTGCACGGCTACTCAAGAACAAGCAAGCCCCGGCCACATCCTGTGGGGTTCCAATGCGACCCAGAGGCACACCGGCCCTAATAACATCACCGAAGGACTCTAGGGTAGCGGCCATCATCTTACTTTCGAAAGGACCACAAGCCAAGGTATTAGAGCTGCAAACCGAATCAGTCTCCCATATATCAAATAAAAACGAGGCACAGCAGATATACTTACGTTACGTTTCGCTTGCCTAGATGGTTGGCAAGAACCCGGCTCAAGTGGTGCAAACCGGCCTTGCTGGAACTGTATGCGAATGTCTCGAGCGAGGGAACACGGAGTCCATCAATGCTACCAATATTGATAATGCGAGAAGGATCCTCCGATGTAGCCGCCTTCTCCAGGAGAGGTGTGACGAGCTGGGTCAGGTCGAAGACTCGGTGGAGGTTGAGGGTAAGGACTCGTGTGAAGGCCTCGGAGGGGTATTCATCATAGGGAGCGCCCCAGTTCGATCCGGAGTTGTTGACGAGGACGTGGAGCTCTAGAAAAAGAAGACATGTTGTTAGAAATGATATAATTGTCTATTTGATGTGAAGCCTTACTGCCTTCGCGCTTGCTCAATTCCTCAGCCAGCTTCTTCACGTCCTCAAGCTTATAGAAATTGGCTGGAATGGCGTGGGCTTTGCCCTTGCCCAGGGCGTTGAGCTCCTTGGCTGCTTGCTCGCATGCCTTTGCATCACGGGATGAAATGTAGACGGTGGCACCGTTTGCGACATAGCCCTCTGAGATCATGCGACCGATGCCTTTGGCTCCACCGGTGACCAGCACTACTTTACCCTGCGGGCGTGTTAGAATGGTCGGAGAGAGGTAGAGTACACAACGATCTAACCTTGACATTGAAAAGACTTGCGGAATCCATTGTAAAATTGTGATTTAGACTTGATACACCAGAAAGTTCAAATACTTTTAAGAAGCTGCCTTTGTTACATCCCTCGTAGCTCTCCCCGTTGCACCTCATACCCGAGGCTGAGATTACTTGATAGCCCAGCCGAGGCACACGGATCTGGAATATCTTTGCACCGAAGAATATGCACTAGTCCTCTTTAAGGCTCAACATAGGGCTGTATTGTCAGGGTTTTGCGGGGTCTCTGCCCAGGTGGTGTTTTGGCTGTTTTCGTTCATAGTATATACCTCCATTACAATAGATTGTTGATTTTCGTTTTCGCCTCGTTATTTCACGATGGAGGACCTTCTGTCAAAACACCGCAAAGAGCAAAAAGATCTCCAAGGGCGGATCACGCAAAAGAAAAAGTCCGCCACCAAGAAAACCCGCAAAGGAGTCAACGATGAATGCGAACGATTGCAGCGCGATCTGTCTGAGAAACAGCAGGCTGAGGTTGCACAATTAAATGGAGACCCGGCTGAAGGGCTCGAAGACCTCAGTCTGGAAGATGATCAACCAGCAGAGGACGAAGATTCGAAACAAGCCCAACCCACCGAGAAGCCACAAGAAGCAGAACCAACAGCCGAACCCACCCCGGAGTCTTCCTCTGCACCCAACTCCAAAAAGCCAAATCGCCAAAAAGCCCGCCTCGCGCGGCGTGCAGCTGAGCAAGCCGCCCAATCAGCGGCCGCAGCAGAAGAAGCTGCGACGCAAACAAACTACAGAGGCAATGAGCAGGAGGTAATGGATGCTGTATTCAAGAAACTGGGCCTGAAGGAAGTCGAAGTGACTCCAGATGGGCACTGTCTTTACTCAGCAGTCGCCAAACAGCTGGACGAGTCCGGACTCGGCTTGCGGCCGGACCCAAGCCGAATCGTCCTCCAGCCCTCGACACAATCACGCATCGACACAGTCGCCTCTCCACAACACGACGGTTACCGAGCTGTTCGAGCTGTGACGGCAGATTTTATTATGGAACATAAAGAGGACTTTGAGGCATTCATGGAAGAGCCCCTAGAGTCATATACTCGGAAGATCAAGCTGACTGCCGAGTGGGGAGGACAGTTGGAGCTGCAGGCGATTGCCCGAGCATACGGTGTGGAAATCAACATTGTACAGAAGGATGGGCGGATGGAGAAAATCGAGTCCGGTGACAGCGACAGCTTGGACGAGGAGGAGAAGCGCAAACGCGTTATCTGGCTCGCTTACTACCGTCACACCTACGGACTCGGCGAACACTACAATGCCCTTGTGAAGAAGTCCTAGGCTACTCAGATCAACGCAAGCTCATTTCTGCCTCGACCTTTCCAGTCAAGGCCAAATTGTGCAATTGCAGATCTATTTTTGTCTAGGGTTTTTTTTGCTAGGTGCTTTTTAGCTTTTCGGCAGATCTAGTTACGACGACGCCAGATCGAGACTCGGTCATGAATCACCCCGTTCTCGCCCTGACCTACCTCGTGCGTGCGCTCTGGCGTCCAATATGCCACTCTTTCCAGGCCGGCTTTGCTCGGCGCCCGCAGAGGTTCGTGCTTAACGACACCCTTGGCGTCGTAGGGTACCTCTTCACCGGGGTGGCTCAGGTGTGCCACGTACGCTTCTGACGGGGAAGCAAATGGGGGCCCTGTGGCTTGGGGATCCTTGTGACGGGGGAACTCGAGGCAGATCAAGTTGCCCGTTGGCGAAGAGGCCAGAAGCTGGGTTTGTCGGAGCGCCCATTTGGGTCGCATTGACGGGTCCAGAGCACAGAAGAACTGCATGATAGTTAGCGTGAGAACAGTGAACATAGAAACTTGAGATATAGACAAATTCAGATACAGCATTCATGTTGTCACATCACGTGTCTGTATTTCCACATTGCGATGAATTTCACAACGTAGACAGACAAGCAGAAACACTAGAAACAAAAAGGAATCCATACCGTGTAATCATAGATAATATCAAATCCATTCAACGGGACACCAATCTTCTGCAACCAAGCATCATCAAAAAAGTCCCCTTGAATCCAAGTAACCTTTCCCGCGCCGATAGTCTCATCCCGGACGCGATACCAATTGGCATTATCGTTCTCCTCCTTCTTGCAAGCCTCAACCGCAGCTGCGCTATACTCGAGACCATAGGCATCGTAGCCAAAACTTGCCAGTAAGAGGACATCCACACCTCGTCCGCAGCCGGGAACGAGAGCCTTCCGCCTGTACGACTGGCCCTGTGCATCGGTTACGACAGGCGCGCCAATTGTTGGGCGCTGCTTGACAAGGGTGTCTTCCAGGGCGGGATTGGGGAATCCCCGGTCCCAGGGCAGATTATCGCCCTTGTCCCAGAGGGAAGCCCAGCCATCGACGTATTTGTCGCCCTTGTATTGGGCGAGGTGGGCCTGTATGGCCTTTGGGTTGATGTTGGCCATTGGGATGGTTATATTGCTTTCCTTGATATGGGGTTCACGTGGTGGTTAATTATTCGAAATGGATGCAGTCAAGTTCACCGTCTTTATGCCATGTTCACGGGGATCCATTCCAGATCTACCGGGCTTATTAATCACCTCCTTGCAGTGAGGTCCACTTGAGTTGAGGGCATGATCAGGTGGCGTATAAATAAAGATGTTTCTGGATTGTTCGAATTACACTATTGTCAAGACAGATATAATTGTCAAGTCTACCACCACACTGGATCTGTCAGTACAATCGCCGCAGTCCCACTACCACCTACCACAGTGTGGTATATCGGTAGCTGGAACACCTGATAGGTGGACCTGATAGAGGACTCTGGGGTCTTTCTTGAGACAGTTCGCCAAGGTAACATCCGGGGAAGAAGGGGTAAATTCTTAGCTATAAAAGCTAAGATAACCCTACAAGTCTATTGCAGCTGTCAAATACTTGCTGATACCATGATTAAAAATTTTCGATATGTTCTATGTTCTATGATAGAACATCTAGAGGAGTCTATAACCTCGGAATAGGCCGCCATCAGGCTTGCCGACGGAAGACCGGCACATTCACACTCAACGATGACTGGCTCTATAGGCCCGCTTATATCTTTATAGGATTGAACGTGCACTAGCGTTGATATGTCGGATATTTATCCGGGCTTGAGGTTCTGCCCAAGAGGTTGATATTTTCAGTTACACTCGGTCGCTGTCGGTGCTTGTCGGACGAAAAACTTTTGAATTCTCCAATTGCCTGAAATTTTCCATCGCTTTGACACTTCCTGGTACAACCAAGACATTCGATATATCCAATACATTCCGATACAGCATAGTTGCAGATCAGTATATCAGGGGATAGATCGACGCTCTTTGCAAGGAAGGTACCCAGGTGGTTACCTTCAGGGCATCCTGTTTTCTATTCAAACACTTGACTTGACTCTTGTAAAGCTTTGTGTGCCCTATTCTTTTGGATTCAGGGTTATTAGAGTTATTTTATACCCAATTTGTCAAATTGGCTTTATCATCACATACTTCCAATATGCACGGCCAATCTGAGACAGACGGCATCGTCGCATCCCCAGAGAGCAGAGAACATCCGACAATCACAGCCGATACAAAGTCAGAGATTGATAATGATACCCACTCCCTATCGGGTGCCTCCAGCAATACCACCGACGAAGAACATGACCCTGAGAATCCCCCACCCCTAGAGCGCCAGTTGACCGAGCTTGGTCCTCCCATTAGGGTCGCCCGACTCAAGCGCAGAGGCTTGTTCAGTCAGTTGGCATTGGTGGCAGAGGTTGAAAATCCGAAGACATACTCTCGCAAAATGAAATGGTTCATCACATTTGTTGTCGCTCTTGCCGGAGCCACGGCACCAATGGGCAGTGCCATCTTTCTCCGTGAGTCCCCAATCACAAACTTGGTATACATCTGATCATCTCTAATTCATCTGCTATCAGCTTCGCTATCACAAGTAACCAAGGAGTTACATACGACAACCACGATCACTAATCTGTCAATCGCATTGTACATGCTGGCCATGTCGATATTCCCATTATGGTGGTCGTCATTCAGCGAGCGACTTGGACGACGGACTGTCTACCTGGCTTCGTTTACTCTCTTTGTGGTCTTCAACTGTCTTTGCGCTGTCTCGAACTCTATCGCAATGCTGATTGTAATGCGAATGTTGAGTGGTGGCGCTGCTGCTTCTGTCCAGGCCGTTGGAGCTGGCACCATCGCCGATATCTGGGAATCCAGGGAGCGAGGACGGGCCATGGGTATCTTCTATCTAGGTCCGCTGTGTGGACCCTTGTTTGCACCCATTATCGGTGGTCTCCTAGCTCAGCGCTGGGGATGGCGGAGCACCATGTGGTTCCTCTCGGCATTTGGTGCTCTCACTCTCATCTTTATCCTGTTCGCCCTTCCCGAGACGTTGATGGTGCAAAAGCCTGTGCTAGCTGAACTTGAGGACGACGAAGACCCAGCTATAAACCGCCCGTTGAGTCGAGTCTCGTCGCAGCATGTTGTTCGGTCCACCGCAAGGTGGCTCAAGACGATGAAGATCATCTTCATTGATCCACTCAAAATCATTCTCTACCTTCGATTCATTCCCGTCCTTCTCACTGTGTACTATGCCAGTATCGCCTTCGGTTCCCTCTATGTCCTCAACATCAGTGTTGAGCATACCTTTGGAGAGGCGCCATACAACTTCTCCACCATCATCGTTGGTTTGCTGTACATCCCAAACTCGCTGGGATACATGGTGACCAGTATCTTTGGAGGCAAATGGATGGACACCATCATGCAACGGGAGGCGAAGAAGGCGAATCGATACGACGAGAAAGGTAGACTGGTACTACGACCAGAAGACCGAATGCGTGAGAATGCATGGCTTGGTGCCTTTATGTACCCGGCAGCCCTGATCTGGTATGGTTGGGCGGCGGAGAAGGGAGTTTTCTGGCTTGTCCCGGTATGTCAACTCTCAATATAGTCCCCAGGATATGTACACCAGTACTACCCGCTAACTCTGATCCGACAGATGATTGCCAATTTCTTCTTTGGTATGGGCTCCATGCTCATTTTCAGTATGGTAACCACCATGCTCACAGAATTCATGCCGAAAAGGTCCTCGGAAGGTGTAGCTCTCAACAACTTCATGCGAAATATCTTCTCCTGTATCGGTTCTGTCGTCACTGCTCCGATAATCGGCGCTATCGGTAATGGGTGGCTCTTCACCATCCTCGGTCTTGTCAGTTTCGCAAGCAGCTCCGTCATCTTCCTGATGAGAGTCAATGGCCCAAAGTGGAGAAAGACCATGGACGCGCGCATGCGGGCATGAGTTGTTTCTGCTCCACATGACCAAGTTGCATTATATCTCCGGCGTTGGAGCTTATTTTTACATTGATTGTTAGAGAGCTAAGGGTCTGGCATACTATACAATTGGTGTCAGTAACGATCTGTCTCTGCTTTGCACATACGTCTCACCAAAACAAAATATTCATACCTGATCCTGTCTCTTCGTTCATGTTGAGCCGCTCTCCGGCCCTTTTATGTTTTTCTTGTCTATCTTTTCTCAAACTGGCTGTTTCCTTCCGGATCCAGATATGTCTAATGCCAAAAATGATACCCATTGTGAAGTGAGATCCATGCCATAAGTCTAAAATCTGCCCACACCAGGCTACTATTATGTCCATATATTGTCTACCAGTAGAAGGTACTCACGCAGAAGGGCTCCATCGAATATATGCCCTACCAGCATCAAAAATGCCTGTATGCTCTCTTGATATGCGGAGTCAAGCAGCCTTACCTAAGCTAATTCCATTCTTGGTCGCTCAATCCCAAAATATCTAACGCCCAAGTCCATTGATGTCTGTCCCGCCAGAATGTCCAAATTGACTGTTCTCGGGTACATACGCATACATATCTATCTGTGCGACGTAATCACTTACAAGAATAGTCGGCCGCTTATGCGGTCTTATCATGTCTTTTTGGTATCTTTTAGAGCTTTTCCCGCTCATTGTTATTGACCGCAAAGTATAGATGCATATAGTGAAAAAAAATGTGATGCAAAGCTTCTATCTTATGGGACGCCTCCCTTAGAATTTTGAGAAGTACGCTTTTCCGAGGAGTATTCAACCCGTGTCCTGGTAATTGCATACGCCAAGCTGATACGTATAGGTCTCACGTACTTGTGTTATCGTGCATATTATCTTGGCCTAGCTATATACTAAGGGCATCTTTTAGTCGAGAGAGCAGGGCCTTTACTCATCGAGGCCAATTGAGTGCGTATAATGAGGCTAGCAATGTTGCTCCTTACCTATATACATAGATGCCCCTCAATCTCTACTTCGTACGGAGTATGTATAGAAAAGGATATAGATCTGAGTAAGACTGCATGTGTTAATTCACCTGCATGAAAAGAAAAGCAAGGCAGCCAATCAGAGCTTCATCACGCCATGTCCTTGACTAGCCAGCACTTCTGGCGAACATTCGATGCATCCGTGAGGGGAGATCACCGGCGGGATAACGGAGTAGAGGGGTTTATGTGCTGGAGTTAGTAGGGTCTACCCGTGGACAATGTATGTACTTTTTAAGCGATATTCGCGATTGCTTTCCCATTGCCAACCAGAGAACTCCAATGGTAGATTTTTCTTTTCTTTTTCTCACACGGATCACTCTCTTAAGGTCCGATGCCGGCAATATCTCTACTAAGTTATACTTAAACGACCTATCCATTCGCTAGTTACAATCTCAAATATAAGACATCGAATGAAAGTTTATTACCCTCGAGACCTCTCCTCTCCGATCGGCGTATTCCTTCCCAAATGCATGGATGACAAAAGAATAGCTTGGCAAAAATTAAGGAGCGATCTTTATGCCCATCTACAGTCCAAGAGTATAGGAGTCCAACGTATTCATAAAAGAACTCAATAATCCTGGCCCAATTCTGAGAATAGAAACTTACCCACCAATCATACTTACAAATGCGATGGATTCACCTCGAGGGTCGCCATTTGCTAACAACGCGCAACACGGCATGGATGCTCGGCCCGCTGCATGGAGTTGGGTAGATAGACAACCCCATCTAGTGACTTGGCCGAGGACTTGTATCAGGAAGTACAACAGATCTGGAATGGCACGGAAAGTCACTGCCGAGATGATTCGCTAGAAAAGAGAAAAGCGGCCAGGGTATGCATGCAGCTCTTTTTAGACTCGAGTGTTGGCTTTTGTACCTATCTATACCCTTAGGTACATTAGGTCGAATTGAATACATACGCCACTCTGAAAGAAGAGGATCCTAGTGACGAAGCCATTGTAAGACGACACATCGGTCAGATAACCGTGGGGTCTGTTAGTGTACTCCGTTCGGGGAGCAGGAATTAGCGGACGTGTTGGTCTGGGAGTGGTTGGTATTGACGCGAAGATCACATAATGATCGGCTGTACTCCGTACTGGTTATAGGTGGAATGGAAATATGGGAATATTCGAATATAGCAGAGGGAGAAATTGATGTCCAAGTCCCATGTGCAATATCACCTGACCCAAAGGAACTCCGTGTTCCGCCATCCCTCTCCCTTTTACTCCGTACTTCGTACAGTTGATGCAGTCCACGGTGTTTAACTGCATATTACATCACCATTCCAACTGCTGACTCCCTTACTGTTGAGTATCACAGAAAATTGTCGGGCGATTGACTCTGAAGTGTCGGTGTCGTGTCTGGTGTCGAAAGTGGAGATTCGACTATCCACGACTCCATCCGCTCCAACTTCGTTCCCAACCACCCCATTTCACCGTTCCAGTTTGATTCAATGATGCAAATTTTTGCTAGAAGTCCAAAAATTTGCCCCTAGCACCGAATCCCTTTCGAGGTCAATACCCTGGTCTCCCCACCCGCGGTGTACACCTGCATCCTATTTGCCGCCTTTACCGGCGGACGTTGGGCAGAAATGGGCCTGCATTACTTTTGCCTCGCCATTGATTTCCCTAGTGAAACATTGCCTTCGTGGCTTTGTGTACACCTGCGGAGTTCCCTTGGGCCAATTCATTTCTATTATCATCTATGTGTGTCTACGTGTAATATTCAGGCCCAAAAGCAAACCAATACAAAAAAAAACTAAGTCAATCCAATTCAATCCAATTCATTCGCGGCATCCACCCCACTTCAACAGACCCAGTTACTCCATACTCCTACAGCACTACCTTTCCTATCTTGACCGATGTGCCCCCCAATCCCCAATCCCATCTCGCCATTTACTGCTTGGTGCTGCAGCTATTCCTGCAGGTGGGGTTCGTGCTGCTCTCACCCGGCCCTAAACAAGCAGCGGACCTCATTAAACCTCATATCGGCCCTGGAGATGGAGACCCGATGACCGACGTGGCCCAATGACAATCGGCTCCATTGGGTAGTTCATTGGTGACGTTCAGGGCCCAAAGACCGTAATGCACTTTGTTGTCGTCCCATCCGACCGCATCGGAGACGAACTATTATACGCTGCCTCACCATGATTGTCCAATGCGACCTCTGTGTCACCAGAGAAACAAGCATACCCTTCCTTTCCCTTTTAGTACTCTAATACAGGAGGTACCCTACCCAGTCTCACACTTCTCAATTGTCCATATTTTGTATCTTTTGTTCCTCGATTTCCCTTGCCGCCCCATTCTTTCCGTGCAGCCAGCCCGACAAGCCGGCTTGTCACTTTCCTATTGTTCCGATTATCGTCACATCACGCGCCAGTCAGCCTCGCCCAGGCTTCGATATATGATACGTCATTGACCCGGGATCATGGCCGGTAAGAGTAAGAAGAAGTCCAAGAACAATAAAAACAATAACAATCGCCCTCCCGTCGGCTCTGCACCACCCCCTGAACCCGAGAAGAAAGACCTCGTCGACTCTGCCCCGGACCCGGCGGCGGCCGCTGTTGAGGATGTCTTACAAGTATGCCGAAATCCCTCAGTACTCATATCAATCGGTTCAACGTCAATATTCGACCTTTGATTATGAGACTAAATCTTTCCAATTTTACCCTGTCACCTATTCAACGACCGATCTGACCGAGGGCCAAAACCAGGACAACAAAGAGCCCACCGCCGAACCGGAGAAGGACCCTGCCTCTGAAGATCCCCCTGCCGAGCCAAGTGGCGATGACAATCCAGTCGCTGAGCCTACAGGTAAGTAGATGTTTCTATCGATGATAAGGTTTATCGTCGAAGAATCCATGTTCTACTTTTTCTACTTGATATTGACATACAATGTTCAGATTCCGCAGAAGCTACCCCAGAAGCCAAAGAAGAAGGCAAAGATGAGCCAGCGCCAGACGCAGAGAAGCCCGACGATGCTTCCAAGGAGTCTGTCGTAGAAGACGCGAAGCCCGCAGAGGATGCGAAACCTGATGACGGCGCAGCGCCCGAAGGCGAAGCAAAATCCGAAGAGGAAGCAAAGTCCGACGAGGAAGCAAAGCCCGACGAGGAAGCAAAGCCTGACGAGGAAGCAAAGCCTGAAGAGGAAGTAAAGCCTGAGGAGGAAGCAAAGCCTGAGGAGGAAGCAAAGTCTGAGGAAGCAAGGCCTGAAGAGGACGCAAAGCCTGAGGAGGAAGCAAAGTCTGAGGAAGCAAAGCCTGAAGAGGATGCAAAGCCTGAGGAATCAAAGCCTGAGGAGGACGCAAAGCCCGAAGACGACTCCAAGCCTGACGATGAATCTAAACCCGAAGGAGGCGCAGCATCCGATGACAGTGCGAAACCTGAAGACGAATCAAAGCCTAAAGAAGATGCAAACCCCGAAGATGCAAAAGATCCTCCAGCAGGCGGAGACACGAAAAAAGAAGGCGATAACGGCAACAATGGTTAGTATCCAAACTTACATTAAATCCCACGAAGCTGACAATATCTAGATGATGATTTTCCAGATTTTGATCTAGATGTAGATCCCGAGGCCGTAGCAGCCGAGAAAGAGGCTGCTGCTAAAGCGGCCGCCGAAGACGCGCTAGAGAATGCGGAAGATGCGCCAAAGGCCGAGGAGACACCTGCAGAGCCAGAGCCAGTGGTGGAGGAAAAGCTAACGGGCAAGGCTAAGAAAAAGAAGAACAAAAAGGGCAAGGCCGGAAAAGCAGCCGATGCAGCACCAGAGCTAGCGCCAACACCAGAGCCGGCGGCAGAGCCAACACCAGAACCAGCGTCAGAGCCAGCGCCAGCTCCAGAGCCTGAAACTGAGCCTGAAAAGCCCGCGGATAATCCTCCTGAATCTCCAGCCCCGGAAGAGCCAGCAGCACCCGAACAGCCCGCAGAGGAGCCCGAGGCAGAGGAAAAGTTGACAGCTAAGGCTAAGAAGAAGAAGGACAAGAAGAAGAAGGCCAAGGCAGCCGCCGAAGTATCGCAGGAGCCTGAAGTAACACCCGAACCACCAGAGGCACCAGTAGCAGAACCTGAACCTGCTCCACCTACAGCAGCTGAAGAAGAAAAGGCCCCCGAAGAACCTGTCAAGGAACCAGAGCCGGAAGCTACGCCAGCTGAGGAAACACAAGCTGCCGAACCCGAAGCTGCTGTGGAGGACAAGGCGGAAGCTGTAGAGACTGAACCCGAACCAGTCAAAGAAGCCCCGGTGGAAGCTGAAGTTCCCGCCGAGGTGGTAACCGAGGAACCCGCTGCCAAGGAAGCACCTGAAGAGACACCAGCAGAGAGTCCTGAAGAAGCGGCAGCTCCTGTTGAGCCTGAAGCTCCTGCTGAACCTGAACCTGCTGCTGAGCCTACTCCAGAGCCCGTGGTTGAAGCTCCTGCTGAACCTGAACCTGCTGCTGAGCCTACTCCCGAGCCCGTGGCTGAACCTGCTGCTGAGCCTACTCCCGAGCCTGTGACTGAACCTGCTGCTGAGCCTGAACCTGCTGCTGAGCCTGAACCTGCTGCTGAGCCTGAACCTGCTGCCGAGCCTGAACCTGCTGCCGAGCCTGAACCTGCTGCTGAGCCTACTCCAGAGCCCGTGGTTGAAGCTCCTGCTGAACCTGAACCTGCTGCTGAGTCTACTCCCGAGCCCGTGGCTGAACCTGCTGCTGAGCCTACTCCAGAGCCCGTGGTTGAGGCTCCTGCTGAGCCTGAATCTGCTGCTGAGCCTACTCCCGAGCCCGTGGCTGAACCTGCTGCTGAGCCTACTCCCGAGCCTGTGACTGAACCTGCTGCCGAGCCTGAACCTGCTGCCGAGCCTGAACCTGCTGCTGAGCCTACTCCAGAGCCCGTGGTTGAAGCTCCTGCTGAACCTGAACCTGCTGCTGAGTCTACTCCCGAGCCTGTGACTGAACCTGCTGCCGAGCCTGAACCTGCTACTGAGCCTACTCCCGAGCCCGTGGCTGAGCCTACTCCAGAGCCCGTGGCTGAACCTGCTGCTGAGCCCGTGGTTGAAGCTCCTGCTGAGCCTGAACCTGCTGCAGAACCTGAAGCTCCTGCCGAGTTTGAACCTGCTGCTGAGTCTACTCCCGAGCCCGTGGCTGAGCCTACTCCAGAGCCCGTGGCTGAACCTGCTGCTGAGCCCGTGGTTGAAGCTCCTGCTGAGCCTGAACCTGCTGCAGAACCTGAAGCTCCTGCCGAGCCTGAACATGCTGCTGAGCCTACTCCCGAGCCCGTGGCTGAACCTGCTGCTGAGCCCGTGGCTGAAGCTCCTGCCGAGCCTGAACCTGCTGCTGAGCCCGTGGCTGAAGCTCCTGTCGAGCCTGAACCTGCTGCTGAGCCTACTCCCGAGCCTGTGGCTGAACCTGCTGCTGAGCCTGTTGTGGAACCCCCGGCTGAGCCTGAACCTGCTGCTGCCCCAGTGGAAGAGACACCAGCAGAAGCCTTAGCAGAGCCGGAAGTTGTGTCTGTTGAGGCACCAAGGGAGATTCCAGATGAAGCGCCTGCTAATGAGCCAGTGCCAGAGGAGCCAGCCCCTGAGCCAGAAGCTGCTAGAGACCTCCCCGCCGAAGACCCACCAGCAGAACCAGAAGTCGCCCCCGAGCCAGTCCCAGTCCCCGCTAGCGACGAAGTGGCGCCTGACGAGCTCGTACCATCCCCAGCAGACGCCCCGCGTGAGGTGGAGATGATCGACGCCGAGCCTCTCGATGAAAGCGCAGAAGCCGCAGCAGCCCGCCACAGCTCCCGACGCCGCAGAAAGCGCACTTCGCCGATAGAGGGAGAGCGAGAGCGTCGGGTCGATGGAGAGCGTCGGCAGTCCAAGACCTCTTCCGAAGGCCGCCGGGATCAACTCGAGCGCCAGAAGAGCGACCGAGGCATCTTCACCAACCGATGGGCGAAGGCACTGGAAGAAGCCCGACGCCAGCATGACGAGAAATCCCAAATACAACGAAAGCAGCGTGCTCTCGCCGAGGAGCGAGAGCGCAGCGGTATTCCTGCCCCTGAAAAGCTGAAACGTACGAAGAGCTTGTCCAAGGAGAAGGAGAGGGAGAGGCCAAGGGAACTAGAAATGGAGCCCGAAGTGATCGAATCCAGATCCAAACGCCACACCTCCGACAATCCCTCGAGCCAACCCCTCGAACGAGCCCGCTCAACCCGGACCTCCTCATCAAAGCAGGTATCAACATCGGTGCCGACGCCCAAGCCTCGTGCTTTCCTGCGATACATGACAGAAGGCAAATCGGATACCAATGGGCCTTTGCTGCGTCTGAATGCCACCAAGGCTGCACCGCCCGTTGAAACGCCGCGCCGGTCATCGGCAAGTCATAGCAGTGGCAGCCGTCACGAGCACGAAGACCGACAGTCTAGTGGTCGATCTAGTGGTCGATCTAGTGGATCACGGTCGCGGCGCGAAGAGGAGGCTCCTCGCAGCGAGCGTGTTGAGCGCACTGAGAGTAGAAGATTGCGACGCTCATCGACAGCTGAACATGGTCGATCTAGGGAGGAGAGGAAGGAGAGAGATAGGGGCAAGGATCGAGATCGGGAGAGAGAGAAGGAGAAGGAGCGTGAGCGTGAGAACGAACGCGAACGCGAAAGGGAACGCCAACGGGGACTAGAAGGGGAGAGGGAGAGGGAGAAAAAGCCTGAGGGCTCCTCCAGGCGTTCCAGGGAGTCAAGAGATGTGCGCTCTCATCGTCGACACAGGCGCGAGGAATCGCCTCCTCGAGAGCAGTCGAAGCTGAAGGGTCTCTGGAGAGCGATTGCTGCCCATTGAGACCTTATATATTGTTTTGCCTTTTTCTTTTGCTTTTATTCACTTTCAACCTTGTCTTTTTACTTTACTGGGGCGGTTTGTTGGACAGAATGATCTATATGTGACAGTATATGCTTGATGGATTTTTGCTTCCAAGATTGCATTGGGGAGCGAATCATTGCAGGAGTTCTTTGTTTTTTTTTAGCCAGATTTGACTCGATATGCATCAACTTGACAAGGATTTTGATTTCGGAGACCGTCATTCGTACTCTCATAGCTTATTTGAGGCTATCTCGAGCCTATCGTAGTATCCCTGTCCAATTTGACTTCCCGACGTCAATCCCACTTGGGCATCATTCGTGTCATGTCTCATGTATGTCATTGCACGGCCAGCGTCTTCGCCAGTGGCATCAGTCGCAAAGACTAGAAAATTTACCCGAGCATCAAATGCAACATGCAATATGCAAAGCCCTAAACCAGACGGTCCAAATAAGCACAATCAATCAAGACTGCTCGCTCTTCGCCGGAATCACTCTAGAACACCACCCACACCAACCGCGATACAGACCCTTTTCCTCCCTCTCGAGATAATTCCCCGTCTCCCTCTCATCCTCATACTCAACAACACAGGCACCAACATTAACCCTCTTTTTAGACTTATGCTTAACAACCCCACCCAGCCCAATAACCTCCTGTCTGAAATACCCGGGCTCCTCACCGTCATGGCTATCCGTCGAGACACCAGCCCCTTCATGACCAAACGATGGAGCCGTAGGACTCTGTTCAGTACTACTAGTGTCAGACCCAGACCCCTCATCAGCCTCACAGCCAACCTCAAGTTCAATCTCCTGCGCAGCAAGACAGGTCTCGCCACGTCCACACTTAACGCCATGACTCCCTTCACCAATGCCAGTACCCAGTCCTCCGCCGAGATACGTGCTGTAGCGCGTGCGCCACGCCCAGACACGACGGTACGTCGTGTCATTACTGCGCAGCGTCATTCCACACTGCGTGCATAGCCAGACGGCTTCCTCGCAATTGCATGGGTTGCGCGAGAACGCAATTGCCGCGACGCTATTCTCATCCCACGGGTCGGGGTTATGTGGATCTGGTGTTGAGTAGGAGAGGTGGGAAGAGAGTGGTGCAGTTCCGCAGGGTGCGCAGAGGCGACGGATACGGTTTTTAAGGGCTGGTTGGGAGGGGGGTTTGATTGTGCAGTTCTGCAGAGTGGGTTTAGCGATTTGGTCTTTGTTAGGAGCGGATTTGGCTTACTCTGCATACAACCTTGGCGCAGCGTCGACATTCGCCTACCATGTCACGCGCGCATTTGGCCACTTTCCCGCGGGTCATGCGGCTATGCTCGCCGCTTGGGCGGCTTAGTAGTCGTATGACAGATTTGACGCTGTCTGGGAGGACAGAGCCGCTGTCTAGCATCTCTGCTAGGGTTTCAATGTATTCATTTTCGCATCGGAGAGTCTCTTTCACTAGTTGGTAGCGGAAGGGTGCCAAGTTCAGGTGGAACTGGCGACATGTACTCGAGAGGGCGTACAGGGTATTCAGGTCGATGGCGCGAGCTATTTCTTTGACGATACTATAGGGTGACGTGTTAGCTGGATCTGGGTCTTATTTCCCGGTCGACAAAGACATACGGATAACAACTCAAAGCCGCGGAAAACCCATTTCGATTGGGGTTTAGGGTCTCCTCGGTCATTTCATTCGGGGTAGACGACGCGGGTAGTTCCGCCGGCCCCGACGCGATGGGGTCAACCATCAAAGGGAATGGCTTCTCCAAAAATGCCGATCCATCCGCAATTGCATCGTCGAGGTCGACAAATACAACCATGCTGCTCCATCAGAGGCCTTTTCTCAAGATTTCATCAGATAAGATGGTCTTTACCGTTCATGAGGGGAACCCGAAGTGGGATGGCGGGGGATTGGTGCTCCGAAGACCGGGGCGGTGAGCTAAAAATGGGGGTCACCTTGGCTCGACTTCCGTTGTCTTTGTTTCAGTCCGATACACCCTAACCTCGGCCAAAGATACCGGGGAGAACCCTTGACTCCGAGATATATCCGTGGACATATAAGGCCTCTCGTTTCCTAATCGGGTAGGAGCCGCTTTATACCTTTACAACATACGGAGTACAGCGCTAGATTCTCGAGGTTTCAGTTTGGTATACCTCTCTGGGACCCTCTTAGGCTCAAATAATCCGGGGCGAGTCTTTACACATGCAAGTAAAAAAGTAAGTGGACCCCCAGACGGAGTAGCCCGCTGGAAGTAATTATATGGTAATTACAAGGTTTGCAAGTTTGGAGTCATTCATCAACGAAACTTCCCCCAATCAAAGTAGCCGACCTTTTCTTTGTGACCTGGAGAATTGGTGGGGGTTAATAAGCATATATCTCCCCCTCGTATATCCCCATATCCCCCACCATCCTACTTCTCCATCATCCAACATGCCGCTAAACGCCAAAGCTGTATACACCCGCTCCGATGCGGACTATGTCCCATTTGCTAGTCGACGGAGTACCGTCCACAGCACCAAGGGAATCATATCATGCAGTCAACCATTAGCCGCTGCCGCGGGTCACAAGATCCTAAGCCAAGGTGGAAACGCAGCGGTATGCACCTTGTCCAATTCTAGTCGCGTTGAACTTCAATACTGACTTTGATACTCTTGTTCAGGATGCCGCTGTTGCCGTGGGTAAGCCTCACCTTCGACTTGCCTAATCACAGCACACAATAAACTGATCTCATGCTTCTACAGCCGCCGGACTCAACATAACTGAGCCCTGCTCCACGGGCATCGGAGGTGACATGTTCTGTCTCTTCTATAATGCCAAGACAAAGAAGGTGCATGCGCTCAATGGCTCAGGTCGGTACCCTGGTAGTGCTAGCCTGGAGAAAATCCGCAAGGACCTTGGTCTGGCCCCCGGTCAGCCAGGCAGCATACCTATGTTGAATGCTCTGGCTACGACTACGCCTGGAGCGGCTGCAGGATGGGTTGACACAATTGAGAAGTTTGGCAGCGGCAAGTTATCGCTCGAGCAGATTCTACAACCTGCTATTGAGCTGGGAGAGGAGGGGTTCCCTGTGTCGGAGCTTTCGTCTCGGGGTGTAAGTACTCGATATCCAATCGCAATCATACCGTCAACTAACCCGCGCATAGTGGAATGACGCGGAGCAAGATATCCGCAATGCCTCTCCTAATTTCCGTGAGATGTTGAAAGTCGACCCTTCAGCCAAAGATGGTGTGCGAGCCCCGCTTCCAGGCGAGATCATGAAGAATCCCACTCTAGCCAAAACCTTCCGCGCGCTCGCGGCAGAGGGCAAGAAAGGATTCTACAAGGGCCAGATTGCAGAAGCCATCGTCAAGGTGGTGCAAGACCTGGGTGGCTACATGTCACTCGAGGATCTCGCCTACCACGCCGAGCTCGGGACGCAGGAAGTCGATGCAATCTCACTCAAGTTCACCGGCCAAGACATCGTCTCCAAAGCGACACCCGGCACAGATGGCGAAGCCAACCAGGGCGTCGAGATCTGGGAGCATCCACCCAACGGCCAGGGCATCGTGGCGCTGATGGCACTTGGCATCATGGAGGAGCTCGAGAAAGCAGGCAAGATCCCCAAGTTCACCGACGCCCAGCACAACTCAGCCGAGTACCTACACGCCGTGATTGAGAGTCTGCGCATCGCCTTCGCCGACGCAAGCTGGTGGGTCACAGATCCAGATGTGGAGCGCGTGCCTTCGCAGGGCCTACTCGACCGCGCATACCTCGCAGAGCGGGCGAAGCTGTTCACATCTGAACGCGCAGCAGATATCCTGGACCACGGCAGTCCGGCACACAACCACTGCGACACGGTGTACTTCGCAGTAACAGACAGCGAGGGCAACGGTATCTCTTTCATCAACAGTAATTACGCTGGGTTCGGAACGGCCATCATCCCTGCTGGCTGTGGCTTCACGCTGCAGAACCGTGGTGCCAATTTCTCGCTGCAGGAAGGCCACCCTAACGTCCTGGCTCCCCACAAGCGACCATACCACACTATCATCCCTGCCCTTATCACTAATATCGCCGATGGCTCCTTGCACTCCGTTTACGGTGTCATGGGTGGCTTTATGCAACCGCAGGGTCATGTACAGGTTATGCTCAACATGCTTGCCTTTGGGTATCACCCCCAGGCAGCGCTCGATTCGCCGCGCTTCTGTCTTGCTGCACCAACGGATGAGAGTACTGACCGCACGGTGTTGATTGAGGAGGGTATTAGTGATGCTGCTGTGGAGGGTCTGCGTCGTCTTGGTCACAAGGTCGAGGTGTTGACTGGTTGGAATCGGGCTATGTTTGGTCGTGGCCAGATCATTCGCTCGTACTACGATGATGGGAAGATGGTTTACGCTGCAGGCAGTGATCTTCGAGGCGATGGGATGGCGTTCCCTTTGCTGTAGAGGTATGCTTGAGAATGATGGATCAGTACATAGTCAAAGTGATCATACCACCAAACCCCGCCGTCTATTTTATCATCTGTTTCTTTTTTTTTTTTTTTTTTTTTTCGCAAAACAACTTCGTATCTGTTTCGGATCTCTCTACCGACGTACAACCTTAGCCTCTACAATATAGGTATGACATTACCCATAGACATCACCTACACAACTGCATCAGTATACAGCAACCATCACAGCACCAGGTACTCCGTACCCCTTATCCCGTACTCCATAACAGCACAATGGAACCAAAGCAAGAACTGCCGAAGCAAATATCAACCGCACATCATCACTCAAAGCAGGCGATCGAAAACCCAAGGCCTTCAAAAAGCCGCGTGACTCCCACAAGAACCCCTGATCGACACGCCAGACTTATTGTGCCCCACAGCCGAATCCGCGACAGCTCTTCAAAGTAGACGGTACTCGGTCCGGAGTACTCCGTCAAAAAAAAAATCAAAATTCACATTCCAACCAAAGGAAAAGATCAACATCAATATCAAAGTATGATGGATCACAAACCAAATATCAGGTCTCAACCCCCGTCTGAAAGCAAGTCAATCCATACTTCATCCGGAGTACTCCGAACTATACATACATAGGAACTACATAGTATGTATACTTCCAAAAACTGCAATCCAAATCCAGATCAGAAACCCTGTCCATGCGAGATGGAAAAACGACTCCACCTTGGTATTCCCAGGATCAGTCTAGCGGGGAAGGTGGAGAGGGCCTGTCCGTTTACCATATTGAGAATAGCTGGCCTCCTTATCGTTAAATCGGGTTTCTGGGAATGTCAAGTGGGGATTAGCCGAGTGTTCTCTTTCAGGTAAAGATATGGAATTATTGTATGGAGTACTATGGAGTAGTGGACGCTTAATCGAGATTTGTTTTGTTTTCAAAGGTCGGTCGCCGGGGCGGGCTTTGTTCCGACTTACGATTGTTCCGTGAATTCATTTCCACCCAAATCGGATAATCGCTTATCTCGCTTGCCTGGAACGGCTAACCGAGCCATGGTTCCAAAGATTTAATAAATTGATTAGATTGGTTATGTAGTTTTATATCTCATTTGAAATTTGAAGCTATACATTATAAAACGCTGGGGTATGAACGAAATTGTACATTTGAAAAATTGCCAGGGGTATAGATGGTATAGACAAGGATTGAAAAAGGAAAGGAAATCATGATCAGGTCGTCGGAAATCACACATGAAGAAACACGCCAAACAAAGGAAAACCAAAAAAAAAAACCACATGAAATCTAACTCCCAGTTCGGATCTCGGACCAAATCAAACCGATATCGGGTTATTTCTTTGGTCTTTCTATTTGGAAAGAATTGGTTGGGTGCTGGAAGCGACCGTGACCGGTGGATCCGGAGCCCAGGTGGTCACACTCCGGGCAATGGAGAGAGTGGAGAGCCCTGCGAATGATGGTTGAGGCATTTGTAGGGAGTCGAGACTTTTCTACACCCGTAGCCCTCGGGATTGCCGTCCCTCGGACCCACATGTGTCGTCTTTGGAGTCCAAGGTTTTCTAGGGCTGTTGGATCATCCTGGTAATGTATGGATGTAAATGCTCGTGTAGTCGTAAGATTCGGTCTATGATCAATGATCAAAGAGCTTCGATGATCTTTTCACATACCCCAGGTCACGGGCTGGAAGTTGTGCATGGGGTGGACATGGTCCTCGTAAGGAAGGCAGTCTGCGCTAGACCATGAAGGAGAGGGGTAGTGGCACTGAACGGGCTAGGGATATGTTAGCTTATGGTACCAAATAATCACCCAAAAAAAAAAAAAAACTCACTGGCTGGATCATATTTTCTCCCATGGACATGGGAACTAGATGCGACGGAGGCATGCCCGCATCAGTATCCCAGCGGAGAGTAGTGTGTATCTGAAGCGGGGACGAAGTGACATCGCCCTTGAGGATATTCTTCGGGTATTGATCGATGACGGACACGGACGCGGAAGAGATAGAGGAGCTAGAGTGGGGAGGAAGAGAGAAAGTCGCATCCGACAAAGGCGAGGGGCAAGTCTCCGCCGGGGAAGAGTAGAAGCTATCGTCGACGGACTCGGGGAGTTGGCTATGGAAGGCCGGGCGGGGCTGTAGGGGCAAGTCCATGCCGCTCCACATTAATGAGCCGTCGTTGGCCAGGTCTGGGTGAATCCCAGGTCCCACGAGTGAGCCGATGGACATGGAGTGTGAATGGGAGGTTGCGGTCAATGGCATTCCGTGGTCCATTGACATACAGCGCGGGACAACGGACTCGGTTACGATAGGCTTTTGGGTGTTGGATTCCCACTGCTCGGGTTGCGATTCGAGTTCGCTGCCATGATTGTTAGTATGCGCCATATCGCCAAAGAAAAAAAAAAAAAAGGAAAAAAAAGGAAAAAAAAAAAGGTTCCTATAGTACTCACTGTCTCTCCATGTGGCGCGCAAGTAGATCGGCGCGGTGGAATGCCTTCTTGCATCCTTGTGTTGCGCAGCGGTATGATGCCTCGGGGTTGTGGTTCAACTCATGGCGTCTTCGGTGCTCAGCCCTGGTGAAGACCTGCAATGAAGTCAGTTTGATTGATTCGATCAACTATATATAATTGCGCCGACCTTTTCACATCCTGGGAATTGGCAGGCGTGTACGCGCTTTCCCTTCTTGGCCTTGCTGATGCGATGGGTGGTTGGTGTATAGGTGACGGGCATAGTGGCATCCTGGGAGTTCTGGCGCATGTTCTTCCGGCCCATGTTGGAAGCAAGTTGAGGTTCCGGTGAAGAAGAGGAGGAAATGGAAGGCGAGTTCAAGACCGAGACGATATGGTTTGGACTGCGCCCTGAGGATCCCCGGGCCATGATGTGTAGAGAGAAGGAGAAAGAGTAGATAAGTATAATGAGATAAGATAAATATAGGCAGGGGTTGAAATATAAGCAGAGAATCCTGAAGGAAGAGAGGAGATGAAGAAGAGAGGAGGGTGGACTGATATAGAGGGAACGATATGCACACTAAAAGTGTTGTTCCTACAGTTCTACGAGACGGATTAATAGACTTTGAGTAAATTGGAGGAAATTAATATATAAAAAATAAATTAATGAATTAACAAAATGCTAATAATATAATATCCAACAAAAATAATATCCCCGGTTAAGCCAGGCTAACTGAGATCCAGGGTAAAAAAAAAAAAAACAGCACGGGCGTGGAGATCTCGGGATGATCAGAGTATAAGCCGTACTAAATTTACACAGGGGATTGCATTAGAGCCAACATGAGTGCGGCTGAGGCGCACTTTCCAGTCCGTCCCTTAATGACCTATTAGGGATTTAGCGGAATAATAGTCCGTTGGTACTAATTTTTGCTGTCCCAGAATGGGTATGTTATACTGTAAACTGGTGTTTACTGAGTATACCTAGAGTCTGTGATATTCCGAACTCTGTCCCAACTTTTTCTTTTGAAGATCTGATCTAAATTCGTGGAGCTTACACATCGTCCAAGCTCTCACGGAATGCAACGGGTTTACCCCATCGGAAACCTAAGGTAAATGGTAAATACCGGCTGGTTTAGGCAACTCGCACAGAATACGCGCCAATCATAATCTAGTAGTATATAAAGGCTACAGGGCTGCATACTGGTGGGAAATTATCTTGATTGGGAATATAGACTGTGCAATAGTAAAAAATACCCATTTCCGCTTTGTCTACAAAAACATGGAACTGGGTATCTGAACGGGAGATCCGGTGGACCCATGGATCCAACGCCTCCAACGAAGTCGATTCAACTGAACTAAGGGAAAAAGGGAAAATTAAAATATTCAATAAATATAAAAGAAAACAAAAAGAGAAACGACAGTCAGCCTGGTGAGGGAGCCTTGGCAGGTCTTGGCACATTTTCCAAAGTTTACGCTTTTGTTTCAGTGTGCCGATCCTTGACTCTTGGGGATACCCCATCTCTCGGTTCCGACTCTCAAAACGTCAGTGTTCGTCCGGGGGATACCACATGGTGGAACGGCTACTATATATTTCCTGCGACATATATTGTACTATTGATTTACATGCTATAAAGTATAGACCTATTGTCCAGGGGCTATGCACCCCGCCCCCATACACCGGAGAATAACTTCCCTGTCACCCTCGTGGCAGAGCATCAGAAGCATTCCAGTGGCAATTACGCTACCACAATAGGTTGTACTCCCAAAATTCAAAATCTTTAATATACCATACTACTGCATCACTAAAACACGCTATTGGCATCCCTAATTCCCCTATATTTCTGGAATCAATCCATCTGCAGAGCAAATCCCTAAAAGGATCAAGGAACAATAAACTAACATCACAAGCGGGCGTGCACGTTATGCAGTAGACCTCGAAGGATCATTCAGGGCTTAAATATGTCCCGTGCTGACGCCCGTCACTGCTCGCGACCGTTTACATGCGCAACAAATCACGGGTGCTAGATAGGTGGCTGTGGGGAGAGAGGTGGAATGTGCGTACACGATCCACTGTCTACCATGTGTGTTGCAGATTATGATCAACGGGTGAAAATCATGATCTGGGCTGCAAGGCATTCTTGCAGGGATCTTGAAACGGCCCTTGTATTTGGATATAGATGCCAAAAAAAGAAAGCTTCGTGTATGCAGCGTGCGGGAACTATCACAGCCTCTTTTCTATCCAACTTCCAAGTTTAGACACAGATGATGCATCTCTATCCATCTCTATACACACTAGGGTCCGTGTTTGATCGGCTGCTGCGGTAAGGGTCAGAGAGCGGGCTTAGCCTGGGGCATACCAACAATGTCACCAAAGCCTTGATTTTATTTTAATTTCCTTTTGCTCGGACCCGTATTACTAACGTCATTCGCTATCAGTCCTGTTGCGCATAATCTCCATCTAAGCCAGTTCCGGTATAGAGGGACATATTGATTATGGTGTACGATTGTGGGCCAATGGTCTTTTTTAAGACGGAATTATATATCCGGGATCTGGTTCACGGTATTTCCCTTGTGCTTGTAATTTCCCACATGGCTCCTGGTTAGTCTCTTGCTTCTGTGTGGATCATGGAGACTTCAAATCTTACGGATGAAGGCTGATGCCGCCCGTCTTTTTTTTTGGCTTTTTTTTTTTTTTTTTTTTTTTTTTTTCAAACAGCGCTTATTGTTTCGTAGCGCTGTTGGCATCTGCTAATTGCATTCTAGATGATGCCCATGGCTGAGCTTTTTGGCGGGTTGAAGACTGAGCTGTGAGAATATGCTCTCGATACCAATCTATAAAAAGCCTATGAACACCTGAAGATGAAGATTACTCTGAATAGTTGTATCGATTCCGTATACACAGTAAGACGGGTAGGCAACGGGTGATTGCCATGAAGATGAAGAACAGACAAGTGGCCGTGATCATCAGTATAGAACGAGCGAGTCAGGGAGCTCGATTTAATGTTGGTTCTTTTTTTAGATGCTTACAACACGGGCGGATATAGACCGTGCACGCTAGTCTACTTGTCAGAATAAATATTTTGGCCATTCTGTTGATTTGTCGCATGTAAAGACATATCCTTGGAAGCTCCACGTCGAGGACAGAGGTATATGCTGTTGTTAGGAGTATACCCCCAACTCCCTAATTCGTTCCTGGTCGCCAAAATAGCACCCGAGACAGTAGCGATCTGCCTATGGGATATCCGAATTTAAATTAAATTAGATCAAAGTTATCCAATGTGTGCAAGATCAACGTGGCCCCATGTTCCTGACCCTTAAAGTATTTACGCGATTTCCAAGATCGACACCCCAGGATTGACCCAAAGTTGTTTAGAGTACATCCCTTGAAACTGTCAAATTTACACATTTGAACTGTGAAGACTAGAGAAAAAAGGGAGAGAAAATCAGAAAAGGAGAAAAGAAAAAAAAAAGAAATATACTGCGTATATACGCGCTTTTTCCTTGTCTCCACCAGCCCCTCTCAAGCTTTCGAGGCTCTTTGATTCCAATCAGGTCTTGGTCCTTTTGGTCCGGATCTCGTCCGCAGATCGGTGCACCTCCCTTTTTGAGGATTTGTTCTAGCAGAAAAGCTGCATTTTGTATATTGCCTGTTTCTATCAGTACAACATACATCATCGGTATCCATGGAATCTCACCTCAGATTTAGATCTGCTCTGATTGGTCTGATTGGGGTGTTATTTATTTCTGATTCTCTCCGTTTAGACAACCTGCAGGGACAAATAACCTTTACATATCACGCAATGGTTACTAAAAATGAGCAAATATCATATCCCATATAGGAAATACCATTACCCTGTTGCGGGAAGTTGGTGGGATTGCGGCTATTCCCGAAGTCTCGGTTGAACTACATTTTTCGGGGGAAAATAATCCAAGAGATCGGCTATATTTTAGCTCAGAACGTGGATTCCTTACGTTTCGGATAACTCGAATAGGCAAAGCTCACACCGTTAGGGTCTAAATTGCGTCCACGTGGAATATGCCAGCTTTGTACATTATACAAATTGGGTCTAGTTCAGGCCCACTCTCAAATCTATAGCCCTTTTGATTGCAATCTTCACTTCTTGTTTTGCTAGCTCCACCGACCTTCTTGTCTTGGATGTGGCTCGATGCACCGAATATATCAAATATATAGCTCTGTCGCTAAGGTCCAGAAGGTTGACAAGTGTGATCGATCTGCGCTCACGGTCCAATCCTATCGAGCAGATCGTCGCTATCTATCAAGGTCTTTCTGACCCATCGTCATTAGTGATTGTGCCCAAATGTATTCTAGCACTTTGATGAAAACAAGTATCCTAGTATATTAAATGAAATGTTGTAATTCACATGCTCTTGTATATGTTGCATTCCGTACTTAAAATTATATTTCGGGGAAAGGGTAAATGGCTTCCAGCTCAAATTAGAGCGGATTGAGTAAATGAGGCATTTGTCCCCTGCACTAAAGCGCACCATGCCGAATACAGCGCCCTTGCAGGGATTACTCCAAAGAGTAACTGAATATGCGAACACGACGAGAATATGAAAACTAGGTCCCTACAATTCCATTATCCATGTCCCAGGATCTACCATTCTTATCTAGTGCTATATCATCTTCTACCAAGGCATACATTGTATACAAGTCTACCTGGGGTTCCCCACACGCTCAGATCACAATTCACGTAAAAAGGAATTGAGGCCTGAGCTTTACAAAGTGGAGCCGAACTTGGCGAAATGATCTATTATATTTTTCTTTTACTTTTTGTTTTTCACTGGGATAGGCTAACGCGTAAAACCCCTGCAGCTCCTGGCTAAGTCACGTTTCAGATAGCCCCATCGATCAGATCATGCCATGTGGCCACCTTTTTACAAGGCAGATTTCAACCTGAGCACCGATGCCTATATGTAGTAATGATCGTTGGTGTAATTTTGATGTTTTCATCTGTCGGACATTGCTATTACACTCCCCATATATATGTACATGGGAAGTTGAAACTCTCGGACAATTATGTATAGCCGAGATAGGACTAGTCTCTTGCTCAATGTACTTGTCTTGGCTCTGGGCGTTTTCTTGTTAAACGGTTGTTTAATTTCTGTAGCGGATAAATCAGAGTTAACAATGCACGAGTTCATCTCGAAGCCTAGTAATCCATACCGACGGCCGAGCCAGGAACATTAATTTTAAATCCTCTTCATTTGCTCGATAGCGGGCATGCACTAGGCCTGCACCAAGGATCATTATCCTTGTAGCCCATGTGGCTGCATTACAAAAAGGAAAATGGGAGCTTTAGGGCACGTAACCATGTACTACTGCAGGACCTGCATGAATGACGAGCTACTAGCCATGTTTAGGCAAGTGTATTTCCCTACAAAGTAATGACTATTAACTGGAATAGGAATAAGGGACTGTTTCATCTCTGTTACCGCGTCCGTGTCCATGGACAGTAAGTCGTTAGAATTAGGAAGGTGCTCGTGCTGATCTGGGAGAGCTTTGCTGTCTTTATACTTATTTATAACCATTATACCCCGATATTATTAGTCGACATTTATAAAGTCCTTGTCGCGAGCTTCCTTCGATCGGCTCGGGAGACAGCTTTCGACCTATAGGTATAGAGCACGCGAAGAATTAGCGCAAAATATTACCAGACACATTTGCATCCCAGTAGGTTGGGTAAGGCATAAGCTCGCTAAACTTGACAATGATGGGGGGTTTAAAATCAGTTCCCGACCTGATACTTTCCCATGAATTACCTTGCTAGATATAAAATGTACCTCTAGGCCAGAAGAAGAAACTGACCTGCACAACAAAGGGGTTTAAATGAACTAATCTTAAAAACAGACCGTGGGAGGTATTTATTTACTCCAGATATTGCGGTATAGTGTCACAGTATGGGGCAAACTAGATCTACGTATATTGTACTTTTGTAGTCGGATCATGGTTCGTCGATACTTCCGATTACCCCTTTTTTTTTTTTTTCCTCATTTCCTTATAGTACAGTTTCTTTTGCAAAGAACTTCCGTTACGGAGAGTCATATCTTCCGATGTGCGACGGAACTAGTTTCTTCGCTTCTACCATCGAGACCACATGGCCAACTGTGGGCCTTGGTAGATCACTCAACGGGTGTTGATGTCGGTGTGTGAGCTCCCCAGTTTGCACTCCCGTGTTGCACTAACTAATTAGCCCGCCTATTCCGTAGGTAGATTTTCATCTAGAGAGCATCCGCTAAGCTCAATCTAGTCGTCCTAGCTATATCCAGCTATCCCAAGTAGACTAGCTACTAGCATGACCCCTAGGGTTGTGACCTCACAAAGCTAATTAAGGAACATTACACCGTCTTTTGTACTGTAGCGGCAGGATCCCCCATTCGCGGATGGATTGCTATTCTACGTCCCAACAACAGCCTAGAACCAATCAGAATAATACATTAATGCACTCAACACTAGTGCATGGGCTCAATGATAGACTACCACACGCATGACATCACGCATCCGATGTTCTGGGCCCCAGCGTGCATCTGCCTGCTCATGCTTGTTGACGCTGTTGGTTCTGCTGCAATCTCTATTGGCTCGCTTTTCTGCAGCCTGCTGATGATAGTGTAACAATTGTCCGATTGGGAGGGAGCTGAAAATAGGAATGGTTAGTGCGTTATCGTTGCCCTCTAGACTCTTTTGGGTATATTTATATTGTTATATCGATCGGCGCCTGTTCCGGTACATATCAATTCCGGGTATGCCGGCAACGTACGTCGTATGTATAGACTTTATATTTGACGACATGGAGTATGAGAAGACCATGCACAGAGTAGGGGGTAAGTACTTAGCGATGAGTGGCAAGCTTTGACTTTGATACAAATTAGGGAGATCCTAAACAGCCTGTTCGACCAGTCTCCATGTTCTATTCACGCTAGCCTGTGTCCAATATAGCGGAGAGTCTCCAGCGGGAAATACTCCATTCGTTGTTCCCGCAAGGGTTATTTCGTCAACACACCTGGTTTTCAGCTGTAACAGACTACCAACTAGACTAGCGTCCTTCAATCTCTTTTCTCTCTCCTGCAGGTCTAGGACGTCACTATATTTGCTTCGCTTGGAGCCATGTGGCTGTCAAGACCGGGTCAAGTCCGGGTCAAGTCCGCCTAGCCGCTGTTGGGTCTTGCCTTGATCTACTGGGCCGTCAGTCTTGGTCAACCTCGGTGAGTATACCGGGAGAATAGGTTGCGCAGTTATGACTGGTTACTGTTGGGGCTAGTCAGGTGGCAATCATGACCCATGTGGCTTTTTTGAGGTCTGTGTGTATCTCTTTCCTGATGTCATGGGAAGTGAGGGAACATGATGCTAGGCATCAGCAAAGGGTAGTTGGAGGTTTTCCTCTTGTCCAGGTTTGAAAAACGGAGACCTTAACTGACCTGATTGAGTTCGCTCAATCATTCCTAATCCCAGAGCGATGTGGGTGTTCTCGGGGTTTCAAGGTCAGGGAGACCCGTTGAATGAGATCTCTCGCTCATCTATTCAACTACATCTATCCTTGGGAAATTCTAACGATCCATATCACAAATGGCAGGTCCCAGCGCTGTATAAACAGCAAAAGAACACTACCCCAATCCCTCTCCTTGACTCACACTTCTTGCAGATTTCCCTAGAGAAGACTTCTCTGTTATGATCGACTTTGCGAAACACCTTGCTATATTCGTCACCTTAGGTTGAGTCTTTACGCTCGTCATCCAACATCAACCATCTCAAAGCAACAGGCTCCAGCATCCTGCAACTCCCTCGACATATCCATCTTCTCCCGAGGATACAACTTCTCTCTGTCGGCAGCAAGCCTTTTACCCCACGATGATAAAACATCCTCTTGGAGCCAGTCAACCCGTCCAACCCTTTCGCAGGTCAGAGTCTCAAGAACCCTCAATCCCCACCCACCAAGCCTTGGACTCACACCCTTATCGCCAACATCCATCCTCGAAACTAACAATACCAACACCTCCACCTAGCAGTACGCACGCTTTCTCATCATGTAGAGGATCGAACCCGAAGACAGTCAGTCCACTTGTCTCTGGCATCCCAGGACAAGTTTTCAACGCCAGTAATTCCGGCAATACTTGTGTCAGGTACGGCGAGGACGACTCTTTCATGCTGCTCAGCAGGGCGAAACAGCAATCCCGTGGTCCGACCCATACCCTTAAGAGGGCTCACCTTGTGTGTTGTACCATCATATGGAAGCCATGTTGTCAGTGGGCTGTGCTGAAGCTGTTAGACTCCCTACTTGGACTAACAGTACGAGAATATGTTGGGCTATGTGGTATGGATATGGGGAGAGATGGAGGTTTTGAGTTAGGTTATTGCTTTGCTGTAGTGGTGAGAGTGTCATTCTTGGCCTCTTTTGGAAAAGGCTCATCCTCAGTCTGGAGCTCTGACTTGAGACCTGCTGCTACATTTGATGGTCTGTATTTGCATGGCATGGCTATAATATGGGGGTGGGAGTAGTCCTGCTGTAGGGTAGGTTCTTATATATATTCCTGTTTGGGTCGGTGGGTATGGAGGGCAGCTATAAAGCCAAAATTCTTGGAGTTGATCAGGGGTCTTAGGCTAATCACCCCCAGCATGGTGAGACTGGCTAAGACTGGGGCTATATCGCACGATATTTGCATTGAAACAAATGCGGTATTTATGACATAGTTACGCTATCTGAAGAAGCAAGATGTTTGCTACCTCATCTGAAGTGAGATTTCTCTTCTATGTGCTCCTAGCATTGCTTACCTGTGCTCTTCATGCCCCAATGGTGATGGAGTTCAAGATATATAGAGCGAATATAGGGATAGACATTTCAACATCACCTTTGTCTGCATTCTGCAATCCTAACATTCCAGTCGATATAAAGGTTGTGATACAATACATATCTATCTGACAGTGAACTCTATTGCTCATAAGAAAACCTCGACGTAAAAGGGATGCAGCGCATGGCTTATTGACTGTAATACACCTCGGAACTTGGTCGAGTGCCACGACGATATATATTTGATCTTGACCTGGATATATTGATTTATCAACTAGGATTGGTATGTCTATAAATTATTTGAGACAGAAAAGATGATCAATGCAAGTTTACTGATTAAATAGATATTAGGTCATCCAGATACGCCAGAGATATCCAATATATATATATATGAACTACTCGTCCGGGGTATGCAAAAGTAGACCTAGCCTTGACCAACCAAACCACATTAGTTTAGCCTACAAGAAAATAACCACAGACTGATGTGCATATCCATTCTCACATTAAGTACAGCTGGTTGATCTCGTCTATTTCCAGTCACCCATCCCTGAATCAAACCAAATTGGAGCTAACTGCAAAACGTGAGAAGCTCATTATGGACCGATAGTCAAAGACTTGTCCAGAGAAGAGACCAAAACGAGAAAAAAAGTAAAAGAGAATCACATAAAAAATGAATGGTTTGCTCATAAAAAGGGAATGTTGAGCATTGATAGAGCTGAAATAGAAAGAAACGCCTTTTCGAACACGTCTCTATATCCGCCGAGACTTCACTTTAATTGAACAAGATACAATGATAATGATCGGGTCTTCGGCAGAGAAGGCCGGTGGTGCGGTTGATTTCTCAATGTAGATCCCAAGAGACGCTGATCGAGAAACATGGCAACACCATTCAAGAAGCAGTCACGGAGCGGGTTGGCTTAAAAGCAACCCAGAGGCAGGGCCAAAGAGATAGCAGGTCACCAACTGGGGGACACTGACTTGGGTCGAGCCATATGCCGTTCGGATATCATAACTCCGCTGAAAAACCAGAATGAAAAAAATGACAGCAGGATAAGGAAACTCTCGTAACGGAGTTCGATCGAGGTAGAAAAGACGTGGGTTTCGCTAATACCGAGTGGAGAGAAGAAAGGGGAGGGGAGTATGAATGGTTCGAAAAATGGGTATTGATTTAGCGATCGGGGTTCGTGACCTGTATCATAAGTCAGCTTCGGAACGATTTTATTAGGTGTCGCGCATGCTTACCTGCAAGATCCGGCGGGAGAAGTCATGGTCATCGTCGATGCTACCATTGCTTTGGCGGCGCTGAGCCATGTAGTCTCCATCGAACCGAGAATCGGACATCGAGGGCGGACCAGAGTCACGGCCATAGCCGCCAGTGGCCCCACCCGCAACACCAGCCTTGTTCTTCTTGGATCGCCACCAGAAGAAGCCAGCACCGCAGAGAGCAGCGAATCCAACCACTCCGATAACGACTCCGGCCGCAATTGCGGCAGTGTTCTTGCTCTTGGAGGCCTTTTCATCGAGATCTTGTTCAGGGACAGTGCTCGCGCTGGCCTCTGCTGTCGCAGTCTCTGTCCTTACACTATCGGAAGTAGTGGAGACGGAGGTGGCAGCCTCGTCGGATTGCGTCGTAGTCTTGCTGTCGCTAGTGCTCGTGGTTGTGGTGGACTTGGATTCGTCGGAGTACGTGGGGACATCGTCTTTCAAATTTGTGGTATAGATAGAGTAGTACTCGTTACCACCACCTATTCGAGATTATTGTTAGCGGGTCAATTCTTCGAGACCGATAGATCAGCGATATAGACATACACATATCATCGGGCCAGCCAGTGCATGGCTTGTTGCATTTGTCGCTTGAAACCTTGGCACTGGATGGTGGTAGCGTGTTACCGCATACACAGTCAGAGCCTGCTGTCAAAGCAAATGCTGCGTAGTCCTTGGCACAGTAGTTTAGGCACCACCCGGAACTCTGGAACGTCCAGCTTGTTGACTTTTTGTACCCAGGAATGCTGGAGTAGCAACCCTGAAGTTTCCCTTCTGGCTGGCCGCGAGGAACCACCTGGAAGTCCTTTGCAACTGCTGAGGTGGCTGCCATTAGCACAGTAGACACCGCGAGGGCGCCTTGAGTGTTGAAAAGCATGATGTGTTGGGAGAGTAGGCAAGTCGAATATCGAAATCAGCGTGGAAAGTAAACACCGCTGGACACAGTCGCAGGGGTGGTTGAGGAAGGACTGGGGACGGCCTGCGTAACCCTCAAGAACTTCTGTTTGATAATATGTCGGTAGACGTCGTTTGTTCTCAAACTATCCACCACGTTGGCTCTGAATTATTCAGACACCCAGGGCGTATCTAACGAGAAAGTCGAGGTTTTGTCCGAGGAAAAAGTGAAAGAAAGGTGATTTCTCGTTGTGTTGACGGGTACCCGGAGGACGTGGTCGAGTAGAGGTTCACCCCCTACAAGTCGGGATAGAAAGAGCGACCGTGAATTAAGAAGCAGTTCGGTTGCTAACCCCCAGATAAAAGGGAGTAAACGAGCGAAGAGATTGGGTAACGAATGTGTTGTGCAAAGGGGAGATGGGAAGATCAGGAGGAAAGAGAAGTGACGGATAATGGATCCCTTGGGAAGGACTGTCAAGGGGTCTGTGTTCCCCGGAGAAGGTATGAGGTACTTGTAATATGGGGGGAGGGCCCTGGTGCACTCGAGTACCGGGTACTTCTAGCGCTTGTCTTTCACGGGTGGTTTCATTGTTGTTTGCTCCCTGTATGGTACAGTATCAGGTATACAAACAAACAGTTCTCCAATGATACGCCAAAATAGCATTAGGTAATCAGGTACCGCCTAGGTAAACCAAGGGACTGTGGCTGATCCATTTCCGATTTTGGTCAAACACGGCAGCTAGATGGAACCCTTGGGCATACCGCTAGTCTACTTCAGGCACTAAGCGGTGATTATGAGACTGTGTGTCCAATATTCAATATCCAAAATAGTATGTACAATTGGTATTACTTTACATGGACTTATGAAAAGATCATCCTTGCCACATGAAGAGACCCTCGATGACGACTTGCTGTTTTACCCCTCAAAAATTGTACGCACAGCCCAGCTCACCCTCGGCTAACGCTTTATTCCTCAGGATCGGCTTCCATTGATCTGCTGTGTTCTCTGTTTAAATGACCCGTCGATGTACGGATTACGCCACGGGCCTTTGTGGCTGATAAGTGCATCCTTGGCTGTCTCAGGCTTGGGAAATTTGACCAGATTACAGCCAGGTTTTGGTGAAAGAAAAAAAATACCATTTCATGAAGCGGGCTACAATGTAATTTCCCAGGCGGAGCCAATTTCCATACCCCGTATATGCGCTAAGAGCGTTTTAATTACGGGTACAGAGTACTCCGTACATGAAACATGAAACTTGAAGGATTGATTTAACATTTAGCCTTATGCCCCGAGTGTACTGCGTACTCAAGATCCCTATGTATATACATGTAGATATCTCTTCTTTAGGTATCTCCCCCTTTTCCATCAACAATCTTTCCATGGGTAATAAGCGGCCACTCCCGAGTGGAGCGTACCAAATTATGATCTGTTCTTTATACATCGTATTCCTGTAACAGCGCTTCAGCCACTCAAAACCGTATGTCAATTGTCGCACTGTAAAATAGGGCACTGTGGCTTAGGATCTACAACTCTATGATGTGCAAGTCTATAAATGGTATATATACAAGGGTGTGTTGTCCATATCTTGTGGTATATTGTAACCTGGACCGTTTTTTCGAGGCTGTGCCTCGTATGTTTGTTCATATCTTAGCTGCTTAATATTATGTGATATTATTAGCATTGCCTACGTATTCTCATATGGAGTACATATAACAGCTCGTGAGATATCGGAGGTTATTTAATCCCACGTTACCGTCATGCGAGAACCGACTTTTTACCCATACTGAGTGGAGAGATACAGTTGGTGGTCAATATGCGGCCAAGTGCGCCCCGAAGAGCGAATGTGTATACATAATCTATAAGCTGTACCTTGCAGATTTGGTCCCTTGCAACCCATTCTGAGTCACAGGTTGTATTGTTATTGCAACTGCCAGACCAATTAATATAAGCCTCCTGATCTACGTGGGCATCAAAATCGTTTAAACGGCCATGCCTACGCAGGTAAGCATCTCGACATGCACACCAC